GTTGGTGAGTTTAAGGGTAAAGATGGTAGAAAAGGGAAGATCATAAGAAAACTGAGGTTCCTGGATTCCTTTAAGTTTATGCCAAGCTCACTGGACAAGCTCGTCAGGGGTGTGGGAAGGAACGTCTTTAGGAATTTGGACCTAATGTCAGCATGCTACACCAACGGACAGAAAGATCTGCTCAAACAGAAGCGTGTTTACCCCTATGAATACATGGATGGTTTCGACAGACTCGGAGTAACAGCGCTCCCACCGAAGGAGAAGTTCTTCAGTAAGCTGAATAACGAAAGCATCGGTGATATGGACTACAAAAGAGCTCAGACCGTGTGGAATGCTTTCAACATGTAGACCATGAGGGACTACCACGACCTATGCCTGAAAACAGACGTCCTGCTCCTAGCAGACGTGATGGAAAGCTTCAGAGGGGTTTGTAAGGCAAACTATGGGTTAGATCCGATGTGGTACTACACAGCGCCCGGACATGCTTGGGATGCTGCACTGGGGTCAACGGGGATAGAACTGGAACTCATCTCCCATTCGGATATGTACCTACGGATTGAAAAGGTATTAGAGGTGGGATCAGCACCATTACCAAAAGGTTTGCTAAAACAAACAACAAGTATATGAAAAATCACAAACCGGAGGAGAAAAGCGTGTATCAACCCTATATGGATGCAAACAATCTGTACGGTTGGGCAATGAGTCAACCCCTACCCGTCAAAGGCTTCGAATGGATTGTCTGTGAGGAGGTGGAAGGGTGGAGAAACTACGGTTTCTCGAAGTGGACTTGGAGTACCCCGACGAACTACACGACAAACACAATGAATACCCCCTCGCACCCGAAAGAATAGAAGTCAACAGGGTGGAGAAGCTCATTCCAAACCTAAATAACAAGGAGAACTACGTTGTCCATCACAAGGCGTTAAAGCTATACCTTGACCTAGGACTAAGGCTAACCAAAATACATCGGGTTGTAAAATTCATTAAAGAGTCATGGTTGGAGGAATATATCCAACTCAATACGGACCTGCGTACCAAGGTACTACAGACTTTGAAAAGGATTTCTTCAAATTGATGAACAACTCGGTATTCGGGAAGACGATGGAAAACGTAAAAAACAGGGTTGACATCAGGCTTGTCAACGACGAGAAGAAGTGGAACAAGCTGGCTAAAAAGCATAACTTTAAATCCGCAACCATATTCTCCGAAAACCTTGTGGCGATTCACATGAAGAGAACGTCCATAAAGCTAAACAAACCCATCTACCTCGGGATGAGTATCCCAGACATTAGTAAGACTCTCATGCACGACTTTCACTACAATTACATCAAGTCGAAGTATGAGGATAATGCAGAACTCCTATTTACAGACACAGACTCCCTATGCTACGAAATTAAAACCGAGGACTTCTTCATGGACATCTCCAACGATGTTTACGAAAAGTTTGATACCATGCAGTAACCTCGGCAAGGACCACCCGTCCGGAATTCTAACAGGTAAAAATAAGAAGGTTATTGGGATGACGAAGCTGGAAACGGGTGCAAAGCAGATCGAAAAGTTTGCGGGGTTAAGATCAAAATTATACGCCTACAAAATGGCGGAAGACGGGGATGAGGAGAAAGAGTGTAAGGGTATTAAGAAAACAGTTGTCAAAAAGGAAATAACCTTCAGCAACTATAAGGAATGTCTCTTCAGTGGTGAGAAGCAGTGGAGGGGAATGAATGTTTTCAGAAGTAGGGGACATGATGTATATACGAAAAGAGTTAATAAGGTAGCCCTGTCTGCAAATGATGATAAGACGATAATTATGGAGGATGGAATCAACTAGCCTCCTGCGCAGACGTTGTTAGTGGCCCGAGGCCTCACCTAACGTCTGCTCACATTCGCTATGCATTTGACTTCCCGGCAATTGACCAATCACAATTATCTACACGATAATTGGAAGATCGACCTTCAATGACCTTCACATGGAAAACCCAACACGGCAAGATAAATGGAAGGCCATTATCAACAAATCTGCAATATTTTTAAAGTTGAAAGTTTTACTGTTCATCAGAAAAAGGCTATTCATTCTATCATAAACGAAAGGAAGGATGTTTTTGTTAATCTCCCAACTGGCGCAGGAAAATCACTCATTTATCAAGCGTTACCTAAGCTATTCGATGAAAAATTTGGTGGTAAACATGTAGTTATCGTGGTTTCGCCTTTGATTAATTTGATGCGAGATCAAGTAAAGAAGCTACGCGATTTAGGAGTCAGTGCTGTGTCGTTAAGTGAAATCGAGAGCGACGAAGAAGAGAAGGCATTGCAAGAAGGGAAATTTTCTGTAGTATATGGCACACCAGAGGCATTATTGAAGACCGAACGATGGAGAAGAATGCTTTCCAACAAAGTATACAGCAAAATGGTTTGTGCTGTGGCTATTGATGAAGCGCATGTGATTAAACAATGGTATGTATTGTATGTCTTGAATTTGTCTTTTTATACGTTGCCTCATATTATCTATTGGCATTGAATGTCGTACTAACAATATTATACAGTATATATGAGCCATTATTGTCAATATACACATCCCAACCCTTCTATTTTTTAAATACTACCATTATTAATAATCTTGCAGTTTGGGTATTATACTCATATACCCAACCCCTAAGAGGCCCTAAGAAAAAATTGCATTTTCTACTCTTAACTCCATGAGCCCTATCAAGTTTTTTTTTGTGAAGGGGAGGATATAAAATATTTTATATATTACCATTCACAAAAAAACTTG